TCAGCTTTTTGAATGCTGTCTGCAGGCTTTCCTCTTCTCCATCCTTAGTTTCTGATTTCATCATTGGGATGGCCAGGAGGTGATGGAATTACCATGTACTGCTCCAATCAGAAAAAAGACACATGAAAATAATGTTAAAAACATTAGTTGCCCAGCAGCACCATAATACGTGAAAATAAACTCAAAATAGCACACTGAGCACACAAAGCTGAGGTCATTCTAGTAGAACATTTTTGAAAGCTGACTCAGAACAAGCTTTATGATACCCAAGAACGAAATGAACAGTCTCTTGTACAACTGTAGGTGAATTAACAATCCAAAGTGAAATTTAGTGTCAACAGCATCTTGCACATACATTACAGCCCAGCCAGACTATTCCACGTGTCTTACAGTGCTGCCAGAATAATTGTAGAAGAGGTGAAAGTGAGATAGAACAACACTATTAGAAACAGCCAACCTTCTACAACTCTTCTTTCCAAATTTGGGACTCAGCGTTACACATACACTTCAAAAAAACTCAAACCAAGAGGTTTTTCTTAAAACAAGATAAAGTTTTAAGCCAAACAAAACTTTTTTTAGCCTTATGTCTAGGTCCCAGCAACAGCTACACAGTCCTATCAGAACATGGTATTATGATTACAAATAGTTGTTGAAATTTACCAGTATCAGCTTGTGAACAAGTACAAATGCAAACAAATACAAAAAGCAATTTGAAAGCCTTCCTTTAAATTAAAAAAAAAAAAAAAAAAGGAAGGCTGATTTTTCTTTTAATCTGCCCCAGCCATCATTTAATCTGCTACAAAGGACTTCAAATCTTTCTAAATTTGATGCTCTTTGGGTTTGCTGGAGGTCACCCCCAGTGGTGTACCCCAGGAACAGAACTGTCCAGTCCTGTTTAACATCTTCATTAATGACCTGGATGATGTCATTAATGACCTGGATGATGTGGCAGGGTACCCTCACCACGTCTGCTGATGCCACCAAACAGGGATGAATGGCTGAAACACCATTGGGACCTCAACAGGAACCTCATGGACTTCAGCAAAAGGAAACGCAAGGCTCTGCGTGAGGTTGTTTTGTAGCAAGGAAAAGAACTCTCTCTTCACTGAGACCTTTTTTGTCTGAAGCTGTGCAGCTCAGTTACTCATGCAGAGGGATGGGGGAAATCTCTGTTCCCTCTCCCTCTCACTGCAGCTGGAGGTGGCAGCTCTCCCTCCCCACGGCTGCTCTCTGTGCTGTGATCTCACCTGGATTGCACACAGCTATTATGACACACACAGAAGGATAATGGAGCATAACAATTTCAAGGCACATGGTGTCCAATGAGTCAGACAGGGAGTAAACAGGAGAGGAAGCAGCTTAAACACTGACAACATGATGCTCATCTGAGCAAGTTACTATTTCATATTTTCTCCTAGCCAAGTATTACTACTATGGTGAAACAGATGGTCTTCACTTCACTTTTATTTCTTGGCCCCCAAGTCATCCTCAGATGATTCTTTGAAATGGAAATAAAAAACTAGGCTATATAAGTTTGGGGGTTTTTTTAACAGCAAACTCCTGCATTACAGTGCCTTAGCAGGAAGATGAAAGTAAAAACTTTTAAAATCACAGTACATTACTCAAAATACAGTATCAGTTTTTAAACTAAGTATTTTATCGTGCTGCCCTTCATCACCAACACTGCAAATCCTCAAAACAACGCAGAATTTAGACAGAAGTCTCTCCGGGTGATAACGAAGTATAAGCTTAAGCATTTTAGATGCACGCGCCAACGAGCACACACGCTAAAAAAAAAAAAATCAATTACTGTGAACACGCCCTGAAACTTACGGTTTTTACCTCCCAGGCTTTCCCACACATTTCCCTTTCCATTTCATTTTCGGCGGTTCCCCAGCACCGCCGCACTACCAGCGCACCGAGCGCAGGCGGTGGGACAGGCGCGGGCACCGCCGTCCCCCGCGGGATAACGACGGGCCCGTGCAGGGCCGCGGCGCAGGGGCAGCACACGGGCCGCGGGACAAGAACTTTGGTATGTTTAATTTTTATTTCGTATTTTTTCATTCTGTATTTTTAACCGCTCGCAGTTCCCTCCCCAGCCCTTGCCGCCCCAGCAGCCCCCTCCGCTACCCCGCGGCCCTGCTCCGGGGCCGGGCCGTGACTCAGCACGGCTCCGCGCCCGGCGAGGCTCCCCCCGCGCCCTCCGCCCTCACGAGGGGACCGGCGGCGGGAACCGCGCGGGAAGGTCTCGCCGCGCGGGAAGGTCTCGCCGCGCGGACACCACGGCGCTCACCGGCCCCCGCGGGGAGCAAGGGAGACCCGCGCAGGGGACTGGGATGAGGACGAGGATGGCCGCAGGGACGGGAGCGGCACTCACCGCGCTCCGCGGGCCGGGCCCGCCGGGGCGGCCGCGGCTGTGGAGCCTCCGGCGGGCGCGGGCCTGGCTCGGGCCTGGCGCCGGTCCCGGCCCCCGCCCGTTCCAGCGGGGGTGTCACACGGGCAGTGCCCGGCCGCCCCCGCGCTGCTGGCCGTGAGAAGGGCTCGGGAGGGCGCTCAGCGAGGCGTGGCATGCCTGAAGGGTGGGCACGGAGGGGAGAGGCAGGCTTTGCTCGCTGCTGCCTGGGGGCCGGAGCAGAGGCCACGGGCACACTCTGAAACGCTGTCTGAGCGAAAGGAAACGCTTTTCTCTGAGGGCGCCTGAGCACACACTGTCCAGGGAGGCTCTGGAGTTTCCTCCTTGGGGTTATTCAAAGGCTACTGGATATGGTCCTGGGAAAGCAGTGTGCGGTGGCCCTGCCTGAGCAAGAGAGTGGGACCTCCAGGGATCCCTGCCAGCCTGAAGCATCCCGTGACTCCTGAAACCTTTCCGAAGCTTTGCTGCAGGTGCCATGCTCACAGCTTAAAGTTACACAGGTTGCCAGGATCTGTATTCACCCATTGATAAAAAGACACGTTGATATTTTTAACACAGGCTGTGCTTGTTCTGAAAAACTCAGGCTTTGGAGTTCACAGTGAAAAGCCCAGGGTGGGTCTGGTCAGAAGGCAGTGGCATTGCCCACAGAAGGATGAGCACCCGTCACAGTGTCAGCCAGTTTTGTGCAGAGCATCTTGTTCAGACCTCAGTATCAAATCCCAATGTCTGTGTTTCAGTTTATTCTATATGGCACTGTTGGTTATCCACTGAGAGCACATCAATGGACTTGGAAGCTAAAGATGAAGAGGAGGAGAGTCTACAAACAGCATTCAAAAAGCTGAGAGTGGATGCAGCAGGGTAAGTGAGCAAGAAAAAAGGCGATGTAATTTGTAAGGGTTTTATTACATATTTGTATTTTTTCTGTTATTTTACATTTCAAAAAGAAAAAGTCATTTGTTGAAAGGTTCTTTGCTCTCTCTGAACTGCATCACTTCGGATGAAATACAGTCATTATAACTGTATAATATGTAAAGCAGTTCTTTATTACAGAGTAATTTTGACTAATATCCAACTGAAGTCACACAGTGACTGCATGGAAACATGAAGACTCACCTAAAGCAGTGAACCCACTTTTAACTGTCGTAGCTGTAGTCACCTGGTGTGACACAGAATTTGTTTGTCTGTCCCTGTAAACACTGGTGTGTGTTTTAAGCCTTTATTCAGTGCACAAAACTTGGCTTGGGGGGCGTCTGGACAGCAGCACCAACTCCTCAGAGTGTGCTGGGGAGCCCAGTCTCACTGGGAAGGGTCAGGCTAAATATGAGCTCTGAGCATTCCTGTGTTCAGGGGATTTTGTGGATTCTTACAATAAAAACTTACTCAGTAAGATACTGGGTGTGCTGATAACATGTAGTGTAAGAGCTGATGAAATTATGCAGTCTAACACTGAGACAGGTCACTTGAAGTCTTTTGGGAATTTATAAACACAAGAGGAAGTTTTGTGCTGGCAGTGTTACCTTGTGAATTCATCCCCACCACCATCAACACTGTGAATTCAGGACTTCCTCTGCATGTGGAAATACATTTTGCTTTGCTACTCATTCCCTCTGCTTCAAGATGACTTCTGAGCAATGTGGAAAAAAATAGCTGTTCTCTGTCAAGGAACTGTGGTTATTAATCATAACACTTTCAATGTAGTACCACTGGCAGACTGTGTGGGCTTCTGGTTGATTCCTGATGACATCTTAGGCATAAAAAGATCTTGTTTTGCAGACACGTGTTGTGAGCAGCTCAAATCTTGTGACTAATGCATTAATATCAACTTTGGGCAGAGTATTTGAGCTCTTTGATAGAATTTCAGCCTCATTTCTTACAATTTCCCATGTTCCAAGTCACACCTGCAGCCATCATAACTATAAATACAGATTCATGTGCTGGGGCATTTATGTTTGTCATCTAAACCTCTAGGGTCAGCTGCTTTTTAAATTTCATGCTTATCTCAAAACTGTAATGAGAAATAAATCAGTAATCTGTCCTTGCCTGTTGTACCTCCTCCACTTCTCCACCAACTCCCCCTCAGCCTCCTGCTCCAGGTGCTTGGCTTTGCATTTCAGAGGAGTAGGAGACTGTCTTTAATGACTATTGTCTGACAAGAATGTTTGGAACCTGAGTTTACATTCCTTTAATGTGTCATTTTAGTACAAATAGGGCATGACATCAACCTCTGGGCATTTTGGCTGCCTTTCATTTCATCTCACCTATCTTTAGCCACTTGACCAGTATAGTAAGAGGGGTTGTATAAACCTCTCTAAGACCCTGTTTCTACCCACTGACTACAGAGGGAGTCAATGCAGCAAATGTGATGGGCTTAGCTGAGCATGCAAAGCACAGAGGCTGAATGTGGGCCTGTGGGCTGTATCTTCAGGCATTTCTGTGATGTGGCATTTCCCTTTTTACCCAGATGTATTGCAGCTCTGTCCGTGGGCGACGGGACAATCCTCAGAACAACGACAAGAGCAGCCATGGATGGAGCCAAGCAGCAGCCTGTCAGCTCCAAGGAAGCATGGCATGGGTAAAACATGACACATTGAACAGTTGCAGGCTGCTTTCAGTGCAAGTTGTTGTTAATTAGTTGCTTCAAGATATCTTTCTTTTCTGTCACAAAATGTTTCCATAACTGATATGTTGTTCTTTGATTTCATCAAAGTCTTTAAAAACAATATTGCATCTTCTCTAGAGAGGGTTCCCAAAGCTTTCTTTTCTGTTGATATCATCAGTAGTGCTTTTCTGCAAGTCTTAAACCTTTGCAACCCCCTCTCACCTCACTCTTGGGTTCTTTTATTGCTTTTGAAGTACCTGGATATTCAGTGTGACTCTGCCAGCAGCTCCAGCTGACCCAGGTTCTGCACTACAGTTCAGTTTGGGATGACAGAGTGTCATTTGCTTAAGGCAGAAGACTTGGGGGGAAGCGCCTTGAATAAGGGTTCCTTGTATGTATCTTTCCTTTGGGGGAACCCGAATTTCTTCAGAGTCCTCCACGGTTTGTGTCACAGATTGTAAGTGTCCAGTCACCTGGTATTTCCAAGCAGAAAAATAATCTTGTAAAATGTTTTTAGTCACATTTTAGAGCTTACTGAGCTGTAGTGTAGATCTGGAGTTACCCACCTGCTCACCTGTTGAACCCTGCAGGTGTGTGAGAAAGCCTTCCCGAGGATCGGCGAGGGTCCCGCGGCGCCGGCGCTCCAAGTCTCCGGTCCTGCACCCTCCCAAGTTCACCTATTGCAACATGAAAGCCAACAGCCAGCTGAAGCACAAACCCCAGGCAGACACTTCGAAGGGTGTCGTCAGCTCAGATGTTTTTGTCCCAGCAGAACGTGGTACGAAGGACGGGCAGGATTCTCACCTTGAGGCCAGTAACGACAGAACTGAACCGTTGGAAGCTTTCACCGCCGAAGAGCCTTTGCAGCAGCTGGGGGAGAACTGCCCTGCTGTCTCCTCATCCTTTGAGAACAGCTTGCAAACCTCAGATTTCCAGTCCTTATCCATGCTTAGCAACGGCAGGCAGTGCCCTTGTACGGACAGGAAGTGCCAGTGCCAGCAGTGGCGCGCCATGGAGGTGTACTCCTTCTCCGGCCTGCGCAGCGTCCTGTCCGAGTGCGAGAAGGCTGTCCTGGGAGCCCATGCCCACTCCCTCCAGAACAGATCTCCCTCTGGGACAGCCTCAGCAAGCTCTCACAGGTCTTGTTCTGAGCAAGCTCGAGCCTTTGTGGATGACGTGACTATTGAAGATCTTTCGGGATACATGGAATACTACTTATATATTCCCAAGAAAATGTCTCACATGGCAGAGATGATGTATACTTGACTGTAAGCAATAGAGAATCCTGAAGCAGAATTTGATACAATGGTTGGGCTAATTGCCTTGTCAGTGCCATGTTTTCACTGTTGTGTGTTTGATTAAATGTTTCTTTGCCTCATACAGTTTAGTTTTCTAATAAAATGAAAAATGAAATATAGTTTCTGAGCTTAGTTCTAAAAAGAATGCACTAAAGTCTCTGAATACCTTAACAAAAGCACTCTAGGTCAAATGAGCTCTGTTTGGTTTTTGATTTGTGCTGTGGATATTGAAGCTCTGCTGTTTTCACTATGTTTTGGAAAAAACCAAACAAAACCAAAAAAAACTTCTATTTTTTTTCTGATATTTTGGCGTGTTTGGAATGTTCATTCTTAATGTATCTCCGTACTTAGAGAAAAGTTTCACAGCTACAGCTCCATCCTCTATCCTGCTCTAGAGAGAAGGATGAGAAGGCATTCAGCATTTTGGATAGGATGAATCTCCTTTCCTTGAACACTGGCTGACTCCTTTTTTAGTTGGATCAAGTTGTGAATGCTTCTTCCTTACAGTTTTTTTGGGAGGTCCAGAACGTGCGGGTGTGTACTTGGACCCTTCCTTAATCTAACTCGCTCACTCTTAAGCAGTTCTATTTTTCTGCAGATAAGTGAAGCTCTTAGAAGTAAAAATATATTTTGTTATTTGTGCTTTACAGATGGAATAATTTGGGGGGGAGTGAAGCAGACTACCAGGTTGTTTGGGCTGTGCAGTCTCAGAAGCAGAGAGGGTGGAACCATCTATACAGGATGTTTCTGAGCACATCTGTTACACAAAGTGGTGTGGAAAGGGGGTGAACAAGATGTGTGTATCATCCTGGCTTTGTGCTGTAGAGCTATGACATTCTTGCTGGTTGAAAATACTGCAATAAAAAAATTCTGTTGCCGAGACTTGCATTAATAAATGTTTGTCAAAACCCAGCAACTTAAAGTCTGAATAATTTGGCACATATTCATCTTCCCTCAAGACCTTTTTAGTTAAAAAAAAAAACTAATAAAACTCTGGTTTCAGTGTCAGCTGTACATGCTCAACAACCATGTCTGAGTAAAGTACTGTAATTTTTACTTACATGCTGAAAACTGAGTGGTCAGCAAGCCAAGGAGTCACAAGCAGTTGTGTAAAAATAGATGAAGAGCAGATGTGGACAGTTGGCCTTGTATTCTGTGCTGAAAAAGGCTCAGACATTCTAGATGATAATCACTGTAGATTTTCTTCTCACCATCCCAAAAATTTACAAGTCCAGGAAGCTGAGATTTAAAATCCAAATCAAAAAACTTAAGAATACAACTAAAAGTAATTTTGCTCTTAAATTTCATGCATATATTTAGCATGCAGTATTTGCTCTTACTCAAATTAAATGTAACTGATTTCTACATTTCCTCGTGTCACCTCCCTCTTCCAGCTCTATCCTGCAATACCCACACACACTTTGGGTTTTCTCCACTTTCCCTTCTTTCTCCCTACAGAAAATCTGGTATCATATGTACTTTGCTTGTAAACATAAACATTTAGTACCAGCTATCTTTGCTGCTGTTATTTTTCAGAGGGTGTTTCTGCTTCAGCAGAGGGTATCTTCTCCTATTTTTATTCATATTTTGGTTCTGTGCCCTCTTTACCACCATGGGAATTGTTGCTAGACAGAGGGTTGTTTGGTGAGCACTGATCCAGAGTCCATGTGTGTGAAGCTGAGGCACAGCTCTTCCATCTGCATAAAAATGGTTATTTAACCTGGTGTTGGTTATCCCCACTCCTCTCTGCATCTGGAGCCTAATGAAGGGGCACAGCAAGGCCCTTCTGTAAGAAATGTGGAGTGGCAGCCGAGGCAAGGTCACCTTGGGGCAGTTTCTGCTGTGCTGCTCTTCAGTAAAGTGTGCAGAACCCCAGGAGGTGTCTGGACTGCTGTTACATAAACCCTGTACGGATGGACAGCGTTGGAGGGCGCGTTTCCAGTTGTGGAGCAGGACAATGCCACGGGCCTGCTGTGTCCAGGGAGAGAGGAGGAATTGGGGAAATTGTGGAGGTTAAACTAGTCGAAGATATACCTGAAATTGAGGGATGAGAAATGAATTTAGGTTGCCTGAACACCAGGTGGGAGGGAAAACCTGAGAGCAGGTTCTGAGGGCACACTTCCATAGTGTCCTGTGGAGGACAGGAGCAACTGCTAGTGAAGGAGGAAGGAAAAGGGGAAAAAGTAACTCAGTCATTTTGTTTCCTTCCTGAACCCCTGTTTTTGCTAGTGTTTAAGCACATTTAGTGCTGCCTGTGGCAGAGCAAGGCCAGATATTTTGGTTCTTGACTGCAATTTTAAGGTTTGCAGCAAATGTACTGGAACATTGCTGGTGGCATTTGCACAGTACAGACCAACCCCTGGGGGTGAATGATGGGCCCTAAGAGAGGCCCAAACTTATTGTTTCCATCAAAACATTCTCAGTTCAGCTCATCCATGTCATTCTGATAATGCAGTGACTTATTTTTGCTGCCTGCCTGAAACCTCAGGATTTATTGGAAAACTGCATCTTCTCTGGGAATGCCTGCACAGCACCTTTAGCTTGATTGATGAGCAGAGATGCCCTGGTACAAGCAGTGCTGAATGCAACCCTATTGCTCCCAGCTGCTGCTGTACCTGCCCCAACAAGCCTGAGGGATCTTTTCTGTGAGTGGATGCTCTAGGATCTGTTCCCAGTGAATCTACAGAATATGTCTGAAATATTCTGAGAAAGCACCAGTGGACTTGCAGTGCTCCCAGAACTTTGCTCTTACCAGATCCCAACTCTCTGCTTCCTATCTCACAGATCCAGCCTGGGTGTTTTCCAGTAGCCCAAGTCCTTGTCCCTCTGCTTTCAGGACTAGTTAAACCGAAGCAGGAAGCAGAAGGGCACCCTGGATCAATGACATTTCTTTCTTGCCTTACAGAAGCCAAATCGAATCCAGGCTGAGCTTTACATTGGCAGATACTGAATCAGGCCACTGGGAAAAAAAAATCAATGGAGCCGTTTCTGGAGCCTGTTTTCCACCCTCTCCTTCTAAAACAGGGAGGGTTCTTCTGAGCCTGCAAAGTCCCGTGACCAACTCCATCCTCCTGTTCTCTCATCTCTGTAGCCTTTGCATCCGCTCTGAGATGAGACCCTCCCCTGGATTCAGTATTCCCAAGCTGCCAGCAGCCACAATCCTGCTCCGATGGCACCTTCTGCCAGGGCTGTGCACAGCATGCCATGGGGCAGCCCCACGCCGACCCCTCTGGCAGCCAGGGAGGCTGTGTTGAAGAGCTGGGGGTGATCTCAAGGTCACACAAGGTCAGGGCACCCCTGAAGGGGGCTGGCACCCCTCGTGCCCTTCAAGCCTTGCTCGGTTTAGCAAGCCAAACCGCAGCTAAATAAACATGGCCCTAGAGAGGCTCCGTGTACCTGCCGGACCCAGAGGGATGCACAACCTGTCACGTTTTATTCCCCACGGCGCAGCACTAATTCATCACAAGCTGTACCACTAGATGGGGCCTTCTGGACAGCGATCCAGGGAGAGCAGCTGCTGCCTGGCCAACCTGCTCCCTGCCTTTTCTGCACCCCCCGTGTCCCCTTCCAGTGCGAGGAGCCTCCAAAGATGCCTGCAACAAGGGGAGGCTGTGGAGCAGAGGGCAGGGTGGTGCTACATGGGGTGCCAGCTCTTCAAAGCTCAGTTTTCCCTCGTTTTTGCAGCCCCAAAGGAGAGGCCAAGCAAGAGCCTGTCCCTGTGGGTGACCCTGAGGCCAGTTCAGGGACTTGGGAGAGAGGTTGTTATTGGGGGCTGTTGCCCACGGGGGGAGAGAACAGGGAGGAGCCAGGGCAGAGCCCAGCACTTCCCAGCCTCTCCCCTCTCATCACCTTCCTGCACACGCTGAGGAGCAGAACATCACAACAACCAAACAATTCATTTTCATCCCCCTGTCCCTAGAAAACTGCTCTTTGCACTATATTTATGCAGCTGGGTACCAGTTTGGCCCTGCTCCCTCCCAGTGCTCCTGGGTGAAGTGTGCCTCAGTTTCCCCACTCAAACCAGCTCTTCCAAACCATCCTGTCTCTATCCTCACCAGCCCCAGTGGTTCACATGAGAGCTCTCACACAGCCCTGAGACACAGGCTGGCTCCCTGTGCCTGCAGAGCCTGTTCCACATCCTCACCAGGACCTGCCCCTACAACACCCCTAACTGGACTGGCTTTATCCCCTGGCACTGGCAATAGTTCCAAGAGTGTGAAAATATCTTCAGGCTCTCAGATTGCTGGAGATGTGGCATGACAAAGCCAAGTGTCATAAAGCACAAGTCCAGATGTCCAGGACATTGTATCCAGCTGCCTACACACCTGTGCCTGCAAACCTCTGGGTGATGCTCATTGGGCTTGGAGAGCAGCAGCAGCTCCAGAAGCCCCAGTGCTTCTGAGTCTCCTGGCCAGTTTGGAATTGTGACACACCTTGCTCATTCTGGAAGTGCCCCCCAGCTGTGCCTACTTTGTCCAGTTTGGGCAGGCACCCCAGGCTCTGGTACATGCCAAAGGCTCCTGGGCTCTGCCCCTCTGTAGGCTACATGACACCCAATAGGCAGAAATTAATTTGTCCTCTCCAAAAATAATTGGTTAAAATTTAAATTAATTTAAAGAGCCATTGCTGCTTTTTTCCTGTGAAGGTTTCAAGGCAGGCACGACACCTTCTAGGCATTTTAAACCCAGTGTCCATCACTGTGGCTATTTATTACACATCCGCCATATCTAAAGCACTCAAAAAAAAAAAAAATCTTAATCTCTGCTGAAAAATGTTCTCAAGCATCCGCAGGGGTTGGAGCTGCCCCGGATTGCCGAGCTGGCAGGCAGCGGGCGGGCAGGATCCTCCGTGCTGACTCCTCTCCTGAAGCGATGCCTGCACGTTTCCGTGGGAGCCCCGCCACGAGCGGGGACGGGCTGCGAGCCCAGCCCCAGCCCCAGCCCCGGCCCCGGCCCCGGGCCCGGCACCGCCGCACCCTGCGCTGTGACCCCGCGTCCCCCGGCCGCGCTGCCCACCCCGGCCGGGAGCGGGGCTGGCAGCCGCCCATGTGATGCTGGGCTAGCGCCGCTCCATCCCCGCGCTCCGCCGCTCGCTCGCTGCTGTCATGGCGACTCCCAATAATGTTACTCCCACCAACTGCAGCTGGTGGCCCATCTCGGCGCTGGAGAACAACGCGGGGAAATCCACGGAGGGGGAGGAAAATCACGACCCGACAGACCCCGCTCTCAAATCCCAGGACAGATTGGTTTTGTACCACTGGACCCAGTCTTTCAGCTCACAAAAGGTAAAGAGAACGATCGCTCGGCCGGGCTCCCGGGCGAGAATCACCTCCAGGTCCCAGGGCATCCCTTTGCGTCCGGGAGGATGGATGGATAGATGGACGGGCGGATGGATGGATGGAGGCACTCGGGGGACAGCGAGGGGCTCAGCCCCGTGTCTGGCCGGGGCAGCAGCGTGCGGCCAGGCAGATCTTTGCACCTTTTAACAGCATCTGCCTGGGGAGGGGATGGGGNGGGGGGGGGGCTCAGTCGAATCTTGCCTTTGCTTTGGTATCACGGCTTGCACCGGCAGCCGCCTCGGCTTTTGTACTTGCTGCCAGCCCCACTGGCGTGGCCGGGAGCGCAGACAAAGGCAGAGCCGGGCCGGGACCACCCTGCTGCTGCTGCTGCGGGAGCAGAGGCAGCCCCGAGCCAGGCTGGTGCCCGGGAGAGGATCCCGGACCCCAGCACGCAGCGATGATTCACCCCTCACACTGCAGCAGTGCCCTGGAAATTCTATTCCTGGGTTGCCCCAGCAAGAAATCCCGTTCTCCAGACAATAGTAAATGCTCATTTCGCAGCACGGCAGCTGTGTAGCAAACCCAACCTTCTCCCCCGGCCCCAAACCCCCCATCATTCCCAAGCCATGAACACCATATGGAGAATGGGCTGTTGGGAGGGGTGGCTGTCGGAACACCAAGTTCCCCGGTGCCAGGGCCTCCCCGAGCTGCACAGCCCGGCGGGGAGGCCGGGGCAGAGGTGCCCGTTCCTGCGAGCAGACACAAAGGAGGGAGGATGCCCAATGCAGCAGGGTGGCTGCACATGGTCGGGCTCGCCGCCGTCGGCAGCACGGGATCCGCACTGCCGGGGGATGCTCGTGCCCCGCTCCCCGCGGAATTCCCAGGGAATGTTTGGTCACCCCTATTTGGGATCCCCTTTGGGGTGCTGGCAGGAGCTCCCCGTGCCCTCAGGCACTGGGGTACCCTGGCACCCCGGGCTGCCTCCTGCCAGGCCTTCAGCTCCTGGAAGCAGCACAGGGAGCCTGGGGCTGGGTACCCCAGGTGGTGCTGGCTGAGGTTTATTTATCAGCTTGGAGGAAAAGGCCAGAACGAGTTGCAGTTGAGGAGCCCAGGCTTTCTCTTGGTTGACTTTAAAAGAAAAAATTAACTTGCCAGTCCTGTGAATAATTAATGACTAATTCCCTGGGAACTCTGAAGTACTCACAGGAACACTTATATATGTTAAATTGTATTTTTAGCTGCTGCTAGTTGGATGAAAACATGTACTTTTGCCTCATTCAGTGTTTCTGTAAATCATGGCTTTCTCACATCCCCTGTGGGCTTTTTTTTTCTGTGTTTGACATACTTAGTTCATAATAGTCAGGTTTTATAACCCAGAAGCCTAAAATGCCATCCCTGAGAGCATATTCAACACCATCTCATGCACAGAGCAGAGCAGGAGGATCAGCCCTGAGGGCTGGCAGTCGGGGTGGGGATGGTGATGGTGTCCCACATCCAGCCTCACTCCTGCCTCCTCCTGCCCCTCTGCAAGGCTGGACTCACCTTTCCCACCCCTGAGATTTGTGGGTGCCACCCTCGCAGTGCTGGGCAGACCCAGGGCAGGAGGAGGGCAGAGAAAGGGAAAGGCAAGTTTGACACAAGGGGTGTGAAGGTGCTGGGAGATGCCCTCAAGCTAATGTCAGCATGGAGGAAGAGAAGGAGGAGGAGGAATGCTGTGCAGGGTCACAGGGGCTGCCTGGAACTTCCCACAGAACAGAGCCTTCACCTGGTAAAGGCAGAGTCCACTCCTGAGAGTGGGACATGCCTGAGTCAGCATCCAGGTCTCCTTCAGCCAGATAGCAGCACTCACTGTGTGCACGTGTAAGGCGTAATATTGCTGCTGCCTCTGCTTCCTTTTCTTCCTCAGGTATGTGCTGGGCCATGCTGGGATCCACAGCAGCATCACTCCCCCAGCTGGAGAGCTCCAGCCTCCCTCCACCCACTGCTGAGGGATTGGCTCTCAGCCCTCCAGCTCCTCTGCCTGTCGCACAGGCCACCAGGACCAGGGAGGATGGTCCATGATTCTGAGAAGACAGGATGGGTTTGGGTATCCCCTCTTTGCCAGGAAAACAAATTATTTAGTGGCTGCCTGGCTTTTGCAGCTGTCCCATGGCAACAGCTGCTTGGCTTCTTGCAGGGCAAGCGTGTGATCCTGGCGTGTCTAAGTTTTAGGGAAGGGTCTGAGGGTGCAGTGGGGTAGGGGGCACTGGAGACCAGCTGGGTGCGTGGGGCTGAGCCCTTTCTCCCTGGCTTCCTGCCCAGGTGCGGCTGGTGATCGCAGAGAAGGGGCTGCCCTGCGAGGAGCGCGACGTCAGCATGCCCCTGATGGAGCACAAGGAGCCCTGGTTCATGCGGCTCAACCTGGGCGAGGAGGTGCCCGTCATCATCCACAGGGACAACATCATCAGCGACTACAACCAGATCATCGACTACATGGAGAAGAACTTCACGGGAGGTAATGCAAGGCTGGGCTGTGCCTCAGGAAATTTGTGTCTAGTTTAAATTCTGTTTGCTAAACAAATCAAAATTTTTCCTTTGAAGTTTCATCTTCATCCCAGAAAGTCAGCAAGCCACCAGCCCTCCCCAGACTTCCATGTTTTCCCATGAAAGTGAAGAATTTCCAGCAGAAATCCCCTGCTGGAGGGCTCTGAGGGGTGTGGTAGCTAAGCTCCCCTTTTTCTGTCCTGGAAGTCACGCTTCCAAACCAGACGATTTCTCTCAGTCCCCATGGTGCATGGCGGCATTTCACCAGAGTCCCCACTGGGGCACAGATGGGAACACTTCTGACGTCAGGTACATTTGTGCTTTGTCCTTGGGTAATTGTACAAAGGGGCCATAAGGGCCTCTGCTGAGAGAAGGTGGGTTTAAGCCATGTTCTGCTGCTCCTCTCCCCGCTTCCTCCAGGATTCCAGGGCCAGGGGACTCTGCTGTCCCTGCTGCTGCTGTGCCTCAGAGAAAACAGCCTCTTTAAAGTCAAAACCAGCCAGTGGTGCTGAGGACCATGGGAGGATGATGTGACACAAACCCAGAGGAAGGGACAGCCAGGAGAGGGAAGCTCATATTCCCCTGGAGCAGAGCTGCAGGCCTGCTGAGCCTGGCACACCGGGATGCTGAGACAGAGCTCAAAGTCAGCTTTGCTCAGCAGCTGTGGTGAGCAGCCTCTCCCTGGCATCTCACACCCCTTCAACCTCATTCCCCCAATCCTGGGGGCTGCTGGGCTGGGACACCCACTGGGCAGGCTTCAAAGCTGGGCAGGGATCTCGGGCTTTGCCATCACGATGTTCGCCCCAGCATCCATCCCCTTGCAACAGAGACATCAAAAACATCTCAAAATAGCTCCCGAAGGCAGGGCTCCTTGCCAGCTCAGCTGCTGTCCTCTCCTGGCCCTGCCACTGCGCTGCTGCTCCGTGGAGGCACGCAGCTCCCTCCCCAGTGGGGCAGCAGGGGTGGGTCCGTCAGGAGGATCCACACCAGCAGCACGTCCTAGGGAATGGCAGCTGCTTTCCTGCCTGGCAGCAGCCCCAGCACAGGGGGACATCAGGGGGTGTCAGTCCCTGCACCACTTCAGTTGGTCTCTGTGAAGGGCAGGTGGTCTGACATATGTGACAACAGGCTGTCCCCAGCAGGAGGGGGACACAGAGCTGGGAAACTCCTGTTGTTGAGATTTGCCAGCCAGGTGCAGTTTCTTACCTTTTTCCTGGGAAATGGAGAGGGGAAGCTCCAGGAAAGAGGGTCCAGAGCATCACTCCCTGCTCCATGCTCTGCTCCATCCTATCACCCAGCAGTGCAGCTGCCAAAAGCATTACCAGGATGTGGCAGTGCTGATCTGAGGGGGAATCAGCCACCTTGCAGAAATGTGTAGACTTTGAAAAGACCTTTACAAAGTATTTTTACTGAGCTATGTTTTCCCCTGGGCTAAGGGCATGGCCTTTATCAGCTGCTTACACACACTGCGGGCCAGCTATAGTAAAGGCTAGTGTGTGGAGAAATGTTTTCATTCCCCCCAAAATAGCAGTGAATAGTACCAATAAGCCATGTTTGAGGATGCTTCTCACTAGGACACTGCCCAGCAGTGCCCAGAAACCACTGATGACTTGACCAGGGCGATATTTCTTACAGGCAAGTGTGTCCTCCAAGGTCTGCACCCCCTTGCACAGCCACAGAGTGCAACAGCAGCCTCTGTGTGCAGGTTGCTGTGGCATGTAAAGGCAAGTCAGGCCATCCCAATGAAAAACCTCCCTGGAACGTGCTGAAGGATGTGGGCTGGTGGCCAGCATGCTGCTATTTCATTGTGGTTGCTCCATCTTCCTGTGGGATGGAGCAGTCCCTCTGGATGTGCTGTTCCCAGCCTCAGCCCCAGCCCATCAGGTGCTGGCCAGCAGCCCGTGGAAGGAGCACAGAAGCTATAGGTCGGTTATTGTGTCACTCATCTGGTCACTTTTCTTGGGTGGAAAATCCCCACTTGGAGAGCTGGAGCCCAGGCAGTGCAGGCAGTGAGCAGCCCATGGCAGGGAGGAGCCACCAAAACCTCCCTTTGCTCAGGGGACAGGGACACTGATGCCTATCAGTGGAACAACTCTGTGGAGCCTTCCAGCAGGGACAGTCTGGGTCAGAGCCGTGAGATTTCCAGTACAGGAGGTACCAAAATTTGCCTGGTTCTCATCCAGCCATGGGCACCAGCAGGCACGATAATGGCAAGGCCAGCTCCCTCTTGCCTGCAGCCCCGCTCCTGCCACCAGCCGCAGGGCTGGGCACAGCACAGTTGTCACTTCTGGCCCTGAAACAAGGGGCTGCCCTGCTCACATCTGCCAAAGTCCTACCAATGTGACCCGCTCAGGTGGGGACACTGGGACATGGAGAGCCCAGTGCTGCAGACAGGATGTGGGCAACAAAGTCCTGGTGGTGGATTTACTCACTGCCTGTGAACTGCTTTCTGCAGACACTATAAACATTTATGATCCCTTAAAAACTGGGAGAGTTAAAAATCTTGGGGGAGAAAAGAGCAACGTTTTGCTTCTTCTGGTGTCACCTGCCATGTATTTTGAGCTGACAGTGTAATAAAAGGCACAGTACAAGCCACCATCCATGGAAAGTGAATAAACCCAATAAGGCAGGGAGGAGCAGAGCCAGCCAGGGCAAGGGATGTTCCTGCAGCTGAGACACTGGCTGAGCATGGAGGGAAGATACACTTCTTTGGTCATCCACTCTGAATGCCCATTTTTGGGATTTTCAAGGAAGCCCAAGAACATGAGGTACCTCACTGTGACTGGAGTAAAGAATATGTAACTCAGGAGATCCTAAACTCAAATCCCCATCTTTTAGCTCTTTTCTGCAGACCAGGAAAGTTTTTCTCTCATTCAAAGAGACGTGAAATTAGAGTGTGGAGATCAGGGCTGGCTGCACTGACCCCAGGGAACACGAGGGCTGTGGGGCTGGGTAATGACATCCATACACTCGCCATGGGTTTGCCCATCTCGGGGCATGGGCTGGCTGCACTCCTGGCCGGGATGGGCAGCAGGGAGGGCAGGGAGAGCTGACAGATTAGAGTGAAAGCTCTGCCTCAGGCAGCCCCGCTGCCTCAGCAGATTGCGCCCCGCTGTCCAGAGCCGGCTCAGGAGCCGCTGAGGAGCGCTTGAGCCCTCCCAGGTGCGCTAACCCCTTTGCCTTGGCCCTGCAGAGAACGTGCCACAGCTGATCCCCGAGCCGGGCAGCCTGCTGCACTCGCGGGTGCTGCAGTACCGGGAGCTGCTGGACTCGCTGCCCATGGACGCCTACACGCACGGCTGCATCCTGCACCCCGAGCTCACCACCGACTCCATGATCCCAAAGTACGCCACCACTGAGATCCGCAGTAAGTCGCCTTTCCAGAGGGGCTCCCCAGCTCCTTTAGGCTCCACAGCTCAGCCAGACACCGTGCTCCTGCTCATCTCCCCTTTCTGCCAAAGGACTGGGGCAGAGCTGGGAAATGGCAAAGCACAGCTGGGAAATGGCAAAGCACAGCTGATCTGGGAATTGCAGGCATCCCAGAGAGACCTCCTAACTCTCAGGGGGTGTCCGGGCTCCCATGGACCGTGCACGCTTCTCCACAGCTCTTTCTGGGGCACAGGAATTTGCCCCTTTCCCTCCAATAATTCTAAGGGCAAAGGCAGGAGGGAGCAGCCAGACTGAGTTGCAGGCAGTGGATGAATCGGCATAAGTCTGTGTATCTGACCTTCAAGTGCTCATGAAACATTGACGATGCTTAATATAACTCAATGGCAGGGATTGCTCCTGGAGAGAATTCCTCGCCAGAAAACTGACCTTGTCAGGAGGGTATTGGCATGTCCCAGGTCTCTCCCTTCCTTTAGGCTCTGGCCCCAAGCTGAGCCCATAGAAAACATTGTTCCCACCCCCATCCCTTTGGTTGCCTGGGTCCCAGGTGGTCCTGCTGAGGTGGGATGCACTTGTGCACAGAGAGAAATAGGCAGTTCCTGAGGTGTAGCTTGTGGTCTGCTCTGCCTCTGCTGACACCCGTCACAGACAGCTTTCCCCATGTCACCAAGTGTCACCTCCACCCCCAGACGTTGGGCCAGCGCCCCTCCCTTCCCCAAAGGGTGTGGCTGTGATGGCTTCAGCCCCACCTGCCTCACATCACCTCCCCAGCACTCTGCTGAGGTCTCTGAACACATCTCCGTGTCCAAACCTCAGCACTGGTGACATTTTCCCAAGCCTTTGGAGGGTTGTGAGCAGGTCCATGGGCTGATGGTGTCCTTCCTCCCCAGCTCATCTTCTGCCCTCAGGCAATGGCTCAACTGCCCTGTGACAGTGGGTGCTGAGGGGAATCGATGTCATTGTGTCCGAGGAGAGGGTGAACCAAGGTTCCGGGCTCTCCCAAGGGGAATGAAATCAGGATGATATCCAGGTTTCCATCTGAGTTGCAGCCCCAGGAGAGCTGGTTGGCAGCCTTAGCAAGCACAAGCTCATGGCAGAAATGGGAATTTCAGCATTTTATAGCAGTGCACAGCCTGCTGCTGGCTCCCACCCCAGCCAGCCCTGGCACCTCCCGCATCAGCATGCTGGCAGAGCCAGGGCCTCCCTTTTTGGAGGGAACAAAGAGGGAAAGACAGATGGTCCCTGACAGGAAGATATTAGCCCAACTTTGGGTAATTTATGCTATCCCTTAGGTGTTACTCTTCCTTTAGGATTCCTTTCTTCCTTTCACTCTGCTCCTTTCCCTCCTTTGGCTCCCTTGCACAAAGCCTTTCCCATCCTCCCTGTGCCCACAGAGGCAGGAGGGTGAGCACCTCTCCATGCTCATGATGGGCTCCACACCATGGAATTGCAGCCCCAAACACTGAGGCAGGGAGGGACAGCTTCACCCAGGAGGGAGCACTCACCCCTGTGCCCCTCCCTGCCCCACTGCTCTGAATGTACACCCCAGGGTAGGCAGCCAGCTCAGACATCCCAAAGGTTCAGCCTGCTGGGGATGGAGCTGCTGGAGCCAGGTTATGGGCAAGCCCAGGGCTGTCCTGAAAATAGCAAGTAACAGACAGAACTTCCAGCAGTTCTAGTATGAATCCAGCAGGGGAAATGAAGAGCTGAAACTCCCCCTGAAACTCCCAGGCTGGGACTCACCAGAGGGAGGGGATTGGCCATACCTTGGAGCCAGCCCTGCCCTGTGTGATCCCTGTGTGCAGGGACAGCTGACAGAGCCACACGCCCTCAGATGTGGAAGCACAGCAGCAGCAAGCCATGAATTTGGCCCATTTTAGCTCTCTGGGATGTTTTCCCTTGGTGCTACAGCAATATTTTGGCTGCAGGATGAGGTGATTTGCTATCAGACACACTGATCATCCCAGCCTCTCTGTCTGTGTCCCCCCAGGACATTTAGCTAACGCCACCACAGATCTGATGAAGCTGGACCATGAAGAGGAGCCACAGCTATCTGAGCCTTACCTCTCCAAGCAGAAGAAGCTCATGGTGAGTGGGTCAAAGCCACACACATCCCTGGTGCTGGGGGAACATGACCCACAGACCTGCCATGGTCTGGCTTTGTGTCCCTGCATCCATTTATTCCACATTCTAACCCTGCTCTCCACCCAGGCCAAGATCCTGGAGCACGATAATGTGAACTACTTGAAGAAGATCCTTGGAGAGCTTGGGATGGTGCTAGACCAGATTGAGGCTGAGCTGGAGAAAAGGAAATTGGAGTACCAAGGTAGGCACTGGGCTGTGTTTATGGGGTGTTTTTCCACACGAGGCTGAGGTGCAACACCAGAAACAGCCAAAAGCTTTGCACCTGATGAACAACTCCCATGGAGCAACCACTGGTGGGTCTGGGGCTGCCTCTGGGCTCTCCTGGTTTTAGGTACACTGATGTTGCTGCAGCATGGTTTTACTAACCTCTGGCAAACCACCCCTGCATCCCTTGCCACAGGGAATAGCAGGACCCCTGTCCTCATGGGTGCCCTTTGGGAGCCACAAAGTCATCACAGGGGAATGGCAGGAGCCCTCTACCCCAGCAAGGGACTGGCAGTGACTGATGCTCTGTCTGGTTTAGGAAGCAGCAGGCTGGCCCCAGGCACTTCCACCACGAGGAGCACTGGCTGCTGAAAGTGCAGAGATAGGGACATGTGCCGCAGCCAAACCCTCACATCACCAGGCTGTGGCACATCCCAGAGGAGCATGGGCAGGGAAACCCAGGAATCTGAGGAGCCCTGGAGGGGAGAGCCTTTATAGAACCTGTGTTACATGCCAGCAGGTGGGAGAGAGGGACACCAGCCATCCCTGACAGCAAACACACAGTGCTGGGAGCCTGCCCAGAGCAGCCCTGGCACTCAGGGGTGCCTGGACACAGCTGGGCAGCACTTGTCCTGCCATCACCCCTGGATGACACCGTCCTTCCTCCTCTCTTCCTCACTGCTGGCAGGGCTCAGAACCCCGGCCCCAGGAGGGCTGCCAGCACCACGGTGCCAGATGCAGAGCAGAGCCCAGACACAGTTAATCAGGGGATGGTCCCACAGCTGCCCCTGCCCTCTGGGCCAGCCTCGGCCCCGGGGAGCCGTGCGTGCGTCACTCTCGGGGCCACCCTGGAGAGCCCTCGGAGGTGCCAGGGTCGGGCCCTGCAGGGCATGGGCTGGGGATTTACCAAGAGCCCTGATGTGCTCACAGTGGCATCCTGCCTTGCCCTAATTTCCTCAAACCCCTCATTAACCGGTGTGAGGGCTGGGACAGCAGAATTCAGCCTAATGAGGTGCCCTGGGAGGACATTCCAGGAGCCTGGAGCAGAGGGATCGCTGCTGCTGCCAGCACCCAGGTGCTCCAATGCCTTCAGTCCTTGTGTGCTGCTGCTGCTCTCTGCTCCAGAACCCCAAACTCCCACCCCGTGCCATGGCCTGGATCTCAGCAGTGGGCATGATCAGCACTTTGGCAGCCTCCCAGGAGCTGCAGTGCAGCAGCTCTGCTCCCACGCAGCCCGGCTGCCGGTGATGCAGGCGTGAGCAGGGTGGGAGGTGCTGCAGGAGCACCAGGAGACCCCTGCCACAGGCACCCCCTCAGCTGGGACAGGCTGAGCCCAGCTGAGGCTGCTGTGCATGCAGAGTTGCCTTTGCCTGTGCTTCCACCCCACCCGGTGCTGGGCAGGGGTGTGAGGGGCTGGAGCCGCCACATCGGGCTCCAGACCTCAGCAGAGGTGCAGGCCCAGGGCCAGGAGGGACAGAGGGACAGGGGTGGATCGCAGCTCTCTCCCAAAGTCATCATCCTCACATGTGCTTTCTCCTTCACCTGCAGCAGTGCCTGGTGAGGCAGCTGCCTCAGCCCTGCTCCCCTCACGGCTGAGCAGAAGCGCCCACAAGGCCCCGCCACACCCAAGAAGCTCTGGCTGCAGCACCCCCATAAGTCATTAGTCACTGAAAATATTTATTGATTAATTAGGCACAGGCAATCTGTCCACTTGGGCAGTGCCTCTAGCGGGATTTGGCAGGCTGCCAAGAAGCTACAAATGAGGGTTGCTAATTACCCATAATTGGCCCGGCCTGGTCCTGCAGGCAGCCCTGCAGCTGCAGTGCCTGCCCTCGGCCATTGCACTGGAGCCTCTCTTCTCTTTCCTGATACAATAGCCACAGCACAATGAAGAGCCCCAGAACTAGGAATCTGGAGCAAAGCTGACTGAGGGTGGGTTTTTGTGTCCCTTCTGATGTTCTTTACCTGCACTTTTTTTCATCTCCCTCAACTCCATCCCAGCCCAGCTCCTCGGTGTTGAAAGGGCACTGAGGGAGTGCTTAACAATATCCTGGCCTGAAACTGCTTTTTCCAGCCTAACAGCAGCTTGGTTTATTTTTGGATGTCTCTCTGGTGGGGTTATTTCTGGGATCACCCATTATCAGGGGCTCTCAACCCTTCAGTGTCTTCCTTCATGTCCTGCACTCGCACTGAGCTCTGTCTCCCCAAAATCCTGGCTCTTGGCACAGAGGTGCTGCCAGTTTTGGTGTCCTGGAGCACGGTCCCTGGTACAGGAGAGAGAACAAAGGCAGAACCTCCCCAGCAGCACACACAGGAGAGCAGCCAGGCCACCCAGCAAATGGTTTTGATTCCTGAGGATTTCTCACATCCCTAAAATAGGCCAAGTTGACGTGACACTCCTGAAACAGCTCCTGGTGCTGCCAAGGGCAGACACTGCTGCTCTCCCCGAGCACTGACACAGCAGAAGGGGGCACTGCACAGCATCTTCCTTCAAGGGGGCAAAGGGCTCTTTTCTAGGCACCTCCTGGGTACAGGAGGATGCTATCTCCTGCTGCTCTTGACTTGGGGGAGAGGCAGCAGAGCCTGTGTGAATATACAAATTTGTATATTCACACAGGCTATAAATAATCATGTCATATTGCCAGCTTTTGGCACCCCTGTACTCTCCATCACAGTAGATGGGCTCTGAGCTCCTGGCCCATCAAAGAGCTGGGGAAAAACACCCCAGATCTACAAATGCTCCTGCCTATGTGGACCTATTGAGCAAGGTTTTAGGTGCCCACACAAGGGATTATTACCTCTGCTCTGTCTCTTCTCTCTCCAGGGCAGAAGTGTGAACTTTGGCTCTGCGGATGCGTCTTTACTTTGGCCGATATCTTGTTAGGAGCTACCCTGCACCGCCTCAAGTTTCTGGGACTCTCTAAGAAATACTGGGAAGATGGCAGCAGACCTAACCTACAGTCCTTCTTTGACAGGATACAGAAACGCTTCGCCTTCAGGAAAGTTTTGGGAGACATCCACACCACGCTCCTCTCTGCAGTGGTACCCAATGCCTTCAGGCTGGTCAAGAGGAAACCTCCCTCCTTCCTTGGAGCCTCCTTCCTGATGGGATCTCTGGGGGGAATGGGATATTTTGCTTATTGGTACTTAAAGAAAAAATACATCTAGTGCTGACTGCTTGGTGTTTAGTTTGGTGTCTCTGTGCTGTGTGAAATTATGATGAAGCCTCAGTAACTGTAATGAAATTTGAAGCAAGGTAATGAATAATTATATTGTTTAATGTAACATTCCATAGTCTAGAAGTAGAAACCTATACTGCAAGGAAATAAGAAAACAACAACAACAACAAAAAAGCGTCAACTTGTAAATGCCTTTTTTAGGTTTAGGTATTCAACTCCAGCCAGAGGCTCAAGGGTTCACGGGCTCAGCCCTGCCCACTGGGAAGTGGCACTGCCTCCAGCACCAGCCAGCTCCAGGGGGAGAGACAGAATCCCAGGAGGCTTCCCAACATGCAAGTTGACTATTGGGACTTGGATACTTGGTCCTGTGCGTTTGTGTTTCCAAATTGTTCACTGGCCACATTTCACACATGCAGGTAGTGGGGACTTTCTTCTTCTAGAAGGCGTTGTGTTGTCGTGCTCGGAGGCTTTCCTGGGAGCAGGGTGCAGTAGCTGGTCACAGTCAAGGGGGATTTCTGTTCTTCAAGTATCCATTTTAAAAATTATTTTCATTAAAAGGAATATTTTTTATTGAGCTGCTCTTAGAATGTATCCACTTTCTACGTCAGGTTTTGGTGGGCTTTTTTTTAAAGAATTTAATGTCTGTCTTTAACTGCCGCACTTTTTTCTTGAGATAAATCATTTTGACTTTCATCCTGAATTCTGGCACATGAAGGAGATTATTGTTTTAAACCTTTTGGCTCCGTCTCTTGAGTTTTCTTTCACGGATTTGCAAAGCATCTTTCACCAACTGAGCATATTTGGACTCTGAAAAAGTACAACCATTTTCAGAACTTTTCAGCACTTTCCTGAAGGCGCTTTGGCTTTCTTCCATCGGGGGCTCTTTCTGTCATTTCCTCGCTGTGTGTTTTCTTAGGGACACTTTGCACAGAATCACATTGATGACTTTCTTGTGCCTTTTGCATGCTGGAAAGAATAACAGGCCTCACTGCTACTCATGCTTTGGAAACAGATCCTCAATAAACCGTATGGGAGGAGTAATGGCTTTGCATCTCTAAATGTGTTCCACATCCTTCTGGTCCCAGTGCAAGGCATGCCCGAGGGCAGTGGGATGTGCAGGTGGTTTGTGATTTGGCTCATGTACTGCACTGGTATAAAACTTGCATGGAAATTATATGTATTCCTCTTCCAATCACTAATTTTGTCAGTGCTCAGCCCACTGCTTTTCCAGGCACTCCAGTGATCCCTGGGAGCCATGCTGCATCTCGGGGCTGGGGAATGAATGCCAAGTGTGGCTGAAATAACAGGAATTGCATTTGTCTCTGATTCAAAGGTTATCTTTATGTATTTGAAAGCAGTAAGCTTTCCCAGGACCTTTTGATACAACCTGGCAGCCACAGAATTGGGAATATTTAGCAGGAATTACAGGGGATGAGCACATTGAGAGTGCACAATACACATTTATATGGTGCTTGTCATAAGGCTGATCTGACAGGTTTCTGGAATACAACAGGCTTTGTAGCTGCAGAGGCTCTGTGTTATCCCTGTTACCCACCCTGTGGTTGGGTAAGCACTTAAATTGGTGTGTGAGAACCCAGATCCACCTGGCTCCTGCAGCTGAGGCTGCTGAGTGAAACCTTGCAGACACATGTTCTCCAAAATACATTCAGAATTTGCTTTGTGGAGTCGGTGACTTCAGAAGAAATAGTTATTTTTCTTCTTTTTGAAGAGGGAGGAAGGAGGGTGCCCTGAGCTCCTCCCTTTTGCTGAATCTGAAAGGTGTAAGATGAACTAGGGGTCATCCTCTCTTTGGTCAATTAGCTGGTCAATAAACCCCCCAGAAAGATTTATAAAGGTACACCAACATAAAACCCTTACCAGGATTTCACCCTTTCCCCTTTGTTTGTGATCCTGCACACACATTCCCTGGTGATCTCCAAAAGCTGATGAAATGCACACACCAGGTGTAGAAAGGATTAATGGGTTACAAGGCCAGGAAACCCAGAGGGAGGGAGAAGAAATGCTTCCTCCATTGCTAGGGTTTCAGCCCAAGAATGAGGCAAAAGGAAGCTGCTTCACACACGGATTCTTACAGCTGGTGACTTTGCTCCTTAATTTTATTTATTTTTGTATTTTAAACCACAGAATAAATTTAAAGTCATGGAGAAAATCAGACCTCTAAACACTGGAGAAAATAGGTGTGTGTTTTGTTTGGAGCACACTGTTAAATGCAGCTGTTAGGAGGAAACCAGGCAGATCCAGCAGCTGGAGCAAGGCATGGACAGGAGCTGTCACTAGTGTTGCAGTGTGGGCTGCTGGGAAGCCACCGATGCTGTAGTGGTGGATTTTGTACAGGTTCTCAGCTAGAAGTAGTCAATAATAAGCCTTTGCTCTGGACCAAATTAAAAAAAAAAATAAAAAATGGTGCCACTCCCCCTCACTAAGCCTTGTTTTCCTGTCCTGGTAATGAAAAAGTACCAGGACTTTGCTCCAGGGAAAAGCAATTGGTGAGAGTGATAAAAGACAATTACTGTGGCAGGCAGAGGCTGGTTTGATGTGTGAGGTCCCTGAATGAATGTCAGAGCCCTGATCAATCCTGTTAGCCCGTGTCCATAAGCAGCCCGGGGGTGATTACAGGCTGTCATCATAAAAAGTTGCTCTTGTCCTGGCTGATCTCAGCCTGATCAGACCTTTTCTGTTCCAGTTCCACTGCAAAGGGGAGCCCACTGCAGGACCTGGCCATGAGCCAGGCACTGGCCTGCTCACTGCCCAGGGCATGTTCTGTACACAGAAACATGATGGCAAAAATCTGGTTTCTCCAGGACTCTATGTTTTGCTCTCAGCAAGGTGTGGGGTAACAGCAGTGCCCAAGGGGAAAGGCTGGAAGGTGAGGCACCTCAGAAGTGCTATTTTATATTTTAGACGAGAGGGAATGGCTCCTGCTGCATCCTGCACCCAACACTCCTGTGTGCCTGACCCCACCCCAGCCAGGGTCCTCCTTTACTCTAGATGAACTTATTTACCCAAGCAAATTTTTATCCTTTGAAATCCCTGTGTTTTAGAGACAAATGTGCTTTGAGGCACCTCAGTGCTTTAAAATCTGTGTCTGTGCTGAGGTGTGGAACTTCTAATTATCAGAGGGATGAAAATCAGGGGCTTTATATGAAGTCCAAGCACCCCTGAGATGCAGCTGCATGACAGAGTCTCTTCCCCCTGCCTCCCAAGCCTCTTGTTTAACAAGCTCCCAGTGGTCACATTTGCAGAGATATAGCTTCTGAAATATTTTTACTCCTACAGGATTTGCTCAAAAGACTCGATTATGAAAATTGAAAATGTACATGTCAGCCTTACTGCTGGCTGGCAGCGCTTCCCTTTGCTTGGCAAGGGATGGAGAAGACCTTTCCATGCAGAATAAAGGATTTCAACACCAAGCTGGCCAGAGGACAGGGAACACACCACAGAGGCCGTCACAACTTGCCAAAGAAATCAAGATCAAGGGCTGCCTAAGAATGTCTAGTGACCATTTGGTGGCCCTGTCAGAAAGTATTTGCCAAGTGTTTCTCTGTTTTTGAATTTAAAAAAATCCTTACCACCCAACTGCAATTTCAGAATCGAGGCTACAGAGGGAAGAAGGATGATGTAAGAACTGCCCCTTCTTTCCTTTCTGATGTGAAAGTAAATGAAGGATTTCCCCACATAACACCAAAACATTAAAGCTTGCGAAAATATTTAATATCAGTTTGTGTTTGGTGGCATTCACTGCCATCATTAGGATCAAAGCCAAAACCACCCAGACTGGATCCACAATGCAGGCAATGACAACAACTAAATCCCACAGGCTGCTGAAAGGTATATGGGATTGAAATAATGTGGAATAATATGAATATAGTATTTTGAGATGGCTAGGAATAATATAAAATATGATAATATGAGATTAAAAACCCAAAGAAACAGGAAATAATGTACAACCTAAGAGGTAGCTATTGTAACCCCAAACTTGCAATTACCTGTGCCACAGTTGAGGATAGAAGGGCAATTTCTATTCACAGCAAAGCTGCTCTTGCAACACAAGTCTGTAGAAAAGCTCCTTCTCTCACGGTGGGACAGAATAAAGTCCCCATTTCAGCAGCAGTGCCCAGGGAAAAGTTCAACCCTACAGGTCTGAATGAGAGTGAAAACATCTCTGTATTTAGTGAACAGGAACAGATTTTGTATGCCTGAAAGATTCCCCAAAGCATGGCCTCAGTGGCCAAACTGCAGATATTTCAGACCCAGCCATTTCTACTGAATCTAAAGTTATAAGCAGTAATAAAACCACACAGGACTTGGGATTCTCTGATAAAGCACATTCATGACAAATACATTTCCTGGTCTTCCCCTGGTGCTGATCCCCAAATGTGCCCAAAGGACATTTCACTGTCATTTTCTTTCATTCTCCTTTTAACTTGCTTCCCTCTGGAGTATCAAACAGAGAGAAAACAGCCTGCACTGAGCAGCTCTCAGTGGAAGAAGGAATAGCAGCTCTGCCATAAATAATGAGGATGAAGAATTGCTCTGTCAGAACACAGGTGTCCATCACTGCAGCAGTACCTGTGTGCTGCTGGCCAGGCTCTACCTGCAGAAAGATCATTTCCATTTCCATGTCACTTTGGTGCTGAAGAGCTTCAATAAGCAAAATGTCAACCTCCACCCACTTCTCAGGAGCTCACAGTATTTTTTTCTTCCTTTTTGTTCCCTCTGCACAATGATCTACTTTCAGCCCTCTTTTTTCTTTACTCCTCTCTGCTGTCCTACCCCATTGCTCTCTCCTGGGCTCTCTGGTGTCACTCTCCTGTCACAGACAGCAGGCCATGCGTGACATTCCTGTTGTCAGGAGTCCCTGGGCTGTCGGGTTCTGCAGCACCTCCCAATCCCCCTCTCTGAGGAAGAACTGCTGAGAAAGGAAGGAGATGGAATCTTGCTAAAAACCTCTTAACAAACAGCACAGAT